CCCTGGCAGCGGCCCCGGGGGAGTCCCTCGTCGGCCGGGTGCCCGTGTCGGGTTTCAGGAAGTTTCCCCGTGTCTGTGCGCAAGTCTCCGCATCCCCGAAACTTTGAATTTTCTGTAGGGCAGAGATGGTGGGAAGAGGGTGGTCCTTCCCTTAGGTGAAAGGCGGTGGTGCAGAGGGAGCTGGGGGCCCTGAGCTGATGGAGGTGGGGGTCTCTCTGGCAGAGGTGGGTTGTTTTCGGCTTGTTGGGATATTGGCTAATTTACTAGGTCAGTGGCTTGTAGACTTTTCTGTTTGAAATCCTTCCTGCCCCCCACCCCCCCCACCCAAAATCATATTTCTGAAATTCTACTTTCATGGGATTTTTAATCCTATTTTTGTTTTATTGACCGGTAGTTTGGGGTTAGGTGGTTGAGCCTAATGTATCTTAGACTTACCCGTCTCTCAGACCAGAAGCCAAAATGTGTTGCTGTTCTTTTCTTTCTGTTAGATAGTCTCCTGACTTTCTAACTTCTGTTTTTCACCCTTGGTTTGTGGTTTCTTCACTCTGTTAGTTACTTAGCAGAGAACTAGAAACTACTTGGAATGTGGGTTTCCATCAGATGGCCTCAGGACATGCATTCACTCTCCTGGTAGTTGTGTGTTGTCAGGAACCAGTAAGGGAAACTTGAGGTAGTGGGTTCTTACTCTGGCTTTCTAGTCTTGTTAGGAGAGATCTGGGGAGCAGAGACTAAGGGAGGGATGTGTGGTAAAAAACTGTGACTTTACCTTCAAACATTTAAATAAGTTTTCATTTGCAGGAACAGTGTACCTTTTTTGCATCTCTCATTTATTTTGATTGTCTTCCTTGCATTAATGTAGATTGCACCTGCAAAAGCAATGTTTTCCAAGGACATTGGGTTTTTTGGGTGAATCCTGAAAGACTTGTGTTTCATGTGGTCATCCTTGAGGACCTTGAGACCATGCCTGGTGCCTCTGCCTGAATGGGGAAGTTCTAGCAGCTGGTTGAACATATGGGTAGAGATGGGCTCTAAAATCATCATCTGTCTGCCTACTCGAGTTCTTAAGAAGCATTCTTACTCAAAAATTAAAGTTTCAGTAGCTTTTCTAAACTGTATAAGAGTATAAGACAGATTTTTTTTATTTTGAGGGGGTCTAAGTACATCTTGGTTTTAAAGACAAAATTACCGCAACTTCTTTTTGGACTTTAGTTACATTTGACAGGCAGTCAACAGTCATCTAAAAAGCACTTAATGTTTGAGTGATAATAAACAGTAAAACAATATGAGCCATAATTTACAAAAAGAAGCAGCTTGTTTTCAGAAGTTTAAACTGTCCTTGAGGATACAAAAAGCAGTTTAAACACTTGGTGCAAGAGACAGGCTTATTGATATAAATTATAATGGTGTTGTCACAAGAGAAATATGGAAATAGCACATACAGTTACTGAATTACAGTTATTTTTAAATACATATTGTTGTCAAATGGGTTGTTGACTTCTTAAAAAAAAAAAAATTAACTTGTGCTGCCATTGGCAAGAGGTCAACTTTTGCCATTGTGGACACATTTCTTCCACTCCAGTGAGGTCATGTGTTTCATCTCAGCTTTCAAAAAGAAAAAAAAAAAATCTGATATGCAGACCTACTGTGATTATTCTGTGAAAGCAAAATCTGTATTTGTTTCTAATTTTCTGTATCACAGCAGTACCTGTTGTGCAGCATGGCTCACATGGCATGTGTGGCCATCCTAGCACTGGGGTATTTTTGACATAACCAAAGGCATTGTCTGCACATTATGTCAGGAGTTAAAGGTGAAATACTGGTTTACTATGTCCCTTACATTATCTTTTACTAGGTGGATATAAAAGAGTTTTGGGGTTGGTTTGGGGGTTTTGTTTGTTTGTTTTTTCAGAAAAATCCATTTAAAGGCATTAGACATAGAGACATACCTCTCAGGAAGTTCCTGAATCACAAATTTAGAGGCTGTGGGAATATTTTAGCAGAATTACCACAGCATATGTTGGGGTTTTTTATGCTTTTCCCTAGGCAATCAGTATTGGCTAATGTTGGGACTAACAGCCTAAGGCTAAGTGAACCTTTGGTCTGATCAAATGTGGGTTTTGTTATGCAATGTTTAGCAATTTCATATTAATTTGCATATGAATAGTGAAACAACAAAATTATCAGGCAAGTCAAAATTCAATCTGTTTCCAGATTTTTCAGTTAACCTATGATATCAGAAGAAGTAAGGTTAAGATACCAGAAGAAACATTATATCTACTTACAAAGTTTTCCTCTCACTGGAGCATACTTGCAAAGTGTCATCATGTCTGCCCTCTGTGTTTCCTGCTACAAAATAAGTGTCCTGCCATTTGCTCTCTCAACACATGGCCCATACTGTCTTTGCTATGAACACTTCCGTAAAATATTCTTCTTGACAAGACAGGTACTCTGGTATTTTATGGCTGTCAAAAACACAGCTAACAGATCCTATTTGTAAAATATTCTATTTCTCACCTCATATAACACAAACAGTAACTTTATTTCTGCCAAGTGTCTCTATCTCTAAACTTTTAAAAAATACATAGGTAATCCAAAGTCCTTGAAAT